GGAGGAGGTGCTGGGGAATGGGAACAGTGGTGGAGGAGCTTGGTCCTGACCCTATGCCTCTAAGCTCCAGTGTCCAGCCCCTGGGCCCTAGATCCTGGGAAGCTTCGGGAGTCTGGGGCTTTTTTGAGCTTGGTGTCTTGGGTCTCTCAGGGCTGAAGTTACAGCAGCTCATGCCACCCCATTCCGCACTGGCCTCTGAGATCAACATGGAAATTCTCAGGCAATGATGCTTGCCTGCCCAATTCATGGCCCAGGACCCACGGACACATCTGTCACTGCTTCTCCCCCTCTGCTCTCCCATTTGTCAAGGCCCACCCAGACCCTGCTCCAAGCTCTAGGTGGAAGCCCAGAAGGCATTGGAGCATTTGCTAGTCATTGGCTTCCCCGGGAAAGAAACGATCCTATTTGGGGTCCAAGTCCTTGGGGACACTTTACTCCCTTTCTAGGAAGGCCAGGTCCCTAGCTTCCTTTGTCTCTTCCCAAAGAGGCACCCAGAGCTCTGGCAGAGGGGTCAGAATTACCAGAATTTGCCAGGAAATGTGGTCTTAGCGAGGATGTGCTTGCGTGAGCACGTCTTGTGTGTGTGTATGTAAATATTTACACACAGCTTAAGTGAGTCTGTGTGCCTACATCTATGTTCAAGTGTCTGAGTGTGTGTCTGTATGTGTAAGGGCGTGAATGTGTATGTCGCGGGAAGTCTGGGAATGCTCGCATGTGCGAATGTGCCTCTCCAGTTAGCGTCGCGTGTGTACCTCTGCAGGGCTGGGGGTATCGTGTGCAAATAAGGGTGTTTCTGGGGGACCCAGACGTGTGTGTGTGTGTGTGTGTGTGTGTGAGTGTGTATGTATATTAAGTGAATTGTAGGTGTGTATAAAATGAGAGTCTGGAGGAAAGAGAGAGGAGAGAGTGTGTGCATGTGTATGTGTGTGTTTGTGTATGTGTGTGTGTTAGGGTGTGTTCTCCTGACCTCCATTTCCTCCCAAACCTTTTCCTCTCCAGGAAGGTGGAGGGGGATGTTTCCCCCTTTGCAAGTGTTACAGATTCTATCCAAGGACGTGAACAGAAGGTTTCCCAGCACAGAGCGTCCTGAAATTACTTTATATTCCCCCCCTCCTTGTTTCATCGAATCAAAATAGCAGCATTAGGCTCACCCATTCTCCCTGCCCACCCCTCAGCCCTGGGGGAGGGAGCGAGGCGGGCCATCTTGTCTGACCCCCTCTGAGAGCACCTTGCAGGCCTGAGCCAAGGAGCTGTCTTCCAAATCTCCTCTTTCCTCGGCGGCCCATGCTTCAGTGGCAAGAGCCAGCTGCCTCCCTGCCTGCCAGCAACTGCCAAGCTCTTCCAGAACCCACATCCAGGCCCGGCCTCATTTACAAATATGCAAATTTGCATCTTTTCTGGTATGCAAATGGAGACATGACAAATAGCTAATTAGGGTCAAAAGAAGCACTCTGAACCAATTAGTTGTAGGGTCTATCCCTTTCTCCTGTGAGAAGACAGGACCTTCCTGCTCCCTCCCCAGGCTGGCTCCCAGATGCCCACATACTGTGGCATCCTGTCTGGCTGGGCCCCTGACTGTCAAAAGCATTGAAACAGAAGTCAGTGCATGGGCCTCAATCTTACCTCTGACTTAGCCACGTGACCCTGGACTCACTTGCCTGAGCCTCAGTCTCTTTCTCTGTCAAATGGAGCAATGACAGTGACTATCTTGTCCCTACCATCCACCCCAACATAGGGAAACTTGGGAGGACTTGGATGTAAATAGCGTTTGAAAACTGCACTACAGGTCGGGTGCAGTGGCTCATGCCTGTAATCCCAGCACTTTGGGAGACTGAGGCAGGTGGATCACCTGAGGTCAGGAGTTCAAGACCAGCCTGGCTAACATGGCAAAACCCCAACTCTACCAAAAATACAAAAATTAGCCAGCTGTGGTGGCGGGTGCCTGTAATCCCACCTACTCAAGAGGCTGAGGCGGGAGAATTGCTTGATCCCAGGGGGCGGAGGTTGCAGTGAGCCGATATCGAGCCACTGAACTCCAGCCTGGGCGAAAGAGCGAAACTCTGTCTCTGGGAAAAAAAAAGAAAAAAAGGAAACTGTACTACAATTTTTCCAGTAGGCACATCACTTGTAATCTTACGGAGTTCTTTCTGCCCTTGATTTCATTTAATCATGCCACCAACCCTCTGAAGTAGATGAATACAATGTAGGGACAGGATGCAGTAGGGTTCATTCCACATGCCAGTTCCACATGCCAACTCCACATGCCAACTCTGGCCAGTTATGAAAGGCTCCTTGGAGAGCTGTGTTGAAAAGAATTCAGAGGCTAAGTCTGGATTTACCAAAAAAGAGACTGTGAGCTCTTAGTGACATTGGCCACAGGCAAGTGTTTGGACCATGGCTATGAGAGATATGGAATTTGGAGCAGGAACCTGGGTTCCAGGCCTGTCTGCTCCTTTCATTAAGTTACTTATCCTTCCTTAGCTCAGCTTCCTAGTGTAAAGCAGGGAAAAGAAAACCTATGTTTTAGGGTTATTCTAAAGATTAGGCAAGGGAAATTTAGGCAAAATCTCTTTGTCATCTGGGAGGTGATGTCCATTTAATTGACATGCCAGTAGGGCAGGCATATTGTCCTATTTCACAGGTGAGGAGCCTGAGGCCTGGAGAGGGTGGGCGACCTCGAGAAGAAGCTGGTGGCCTCGCCAGGCAGGCCTACAGGGTAGCTGGGGCTGCTCTTCTCTCTGCCACGACAGGATCCTGGCTCCCTCACGCCACCCCCATGCTAATGCCCCATGCGGGCTGCAACAAGCCCTGCTGGCCTGGCTCCACTCCTGGGTGTGAAATTTGGCTGAGTCAGCACCTGGTAGAATGGAGCAATTGCTATCCTGGAGCCTGGGGCCTGGGATAGGGCCAACGGGCAGACCAAGGGTTGGTGGGCGGATCAGACCAAGGGTTGGCAGGTGGGCCTGGCGGGCCTGGCCAGGGAACTCGCCAAAGCTAGGCAGTTGGCAGGAGTGGGGCAGGAGAGGGCCTGGCTTGAGGACAGCCACTCAGGGAAGCTGAAACCCAGGGCCTAAGCTCAAAACAGAGCCCAGCATGTGTCTGCCTGATTGCTGGCTTGCCTGAGCATGTTGGCTGGTGTCTCCAAGCATGTCTGTGTGTGTGTGTGTTTGTCTAAGGGGATGTCTGGGTGCATGTGTTCTTATAAATGTGTGCATGTCCACGTATGTTCATTGCGGCACTGTTTACAATAGCAAAGACCTGGAACCAACCCAAATGCCCATCGATGATAGACTGGACAGGGAAAATGTGGCACATGTACACCAGGGAATACTATGCAGCCATAGCAAACCATGAGTTCGCGTCCTTTGTAGGAACATGGAGGAACCTGGAAACCATCATTCTCAGCAAACTGACACAAGAACAGAAAATCAAACACAGCATGTTCTCACTCACAGGTGGGTGTTGAACAATGAGAACATGTGGACACAGGGAGAGGGGCATCACGCACTGGGGTCTGTTGGGGAGGGACAGCAGGGGGTAGGGAGGTGGGGGAAGGATAACAGGGGGAGAAATGCCAGATATAGGTGACAGCGGGATGGAGGCAGCAAACCACATTGCCATGTATGTACCTATGCAACAATCCTGCATGATCTGCACATGTACCCCAGAACCTAAAGTGCAAAAAAATATATATTTAAAAAAAGTGTGCCTGTCTATCAGTGCAAAAGCAGGTGCATCCATGCAGTGGTGCACATCTGGGTATCAAGGTGTGTCTGCGTCAGTGTGAGCCTACACATGTGTGTATAAGCGAACTTCTTGCATGCATGCATCTATCAGTATCTGTGTGTGTCTGTGCATTTCTGCCTGTATCTACACGTCGATACACTGTCCACATAGGCAGGTCCATACTGGTGTGTGTCTGATGACCTCCGTCAGTATCTGCGGGCATGAGTTCGTGCTTTCTCTTAGCATCTGTGCAAGTGTCATCTACGTCTATCAGCACGTAGTGCCTCTCTCTGTCTTGTACCTGTGTGTAAATGCCCATGAGTGTCTCTGCAGCTGTGCCTGTATTTTGCAGTGTGTACATCTACCGGTGAGGGTATTGGTACCTACTTGAGGATGCAGGCATGGCTGTCTCAGGGTGAGCAGGATGGAATCTTCCCTGTGTCTGCAGTGGCTCCAGGTCATCACCTCTGTCTTTGCGCTGTGGCTGAGGCCTCCTGGACTGTCATGTTCCTCTGCTCTGATTGAAGGGAAGCTTTGTTCAGGGTTTCCCAGGGTGCTGTCTCTGACAGGGCCAGGCCCTGGTGACGCACTTTGCCTTTTGGATTTGTTTATTGCTCCCCTCACTCTTTCCTGATCTCCTTTCCTTTTTCTTTTCTTCCTTCCATTCCTCATCCTTGTCCTTTTTTTTTTTTTGATGGAGTTTTGCACTGTTGCCCGGGCTGCAGTGCAGTGATATGATCTCGGCTCACTGCAACCTCCACTTCCTGGGTTCAAGTGATTCTCCTGCCTCAGCTTCCCTAGCAGCTGGGATTACAGGTGCACGCCACCACACCAGGCTAATTTTTGGCATTTTTAGTAGAGATGGGGTTTCACTATGTTGGCCAGGCTGGTCTAGAACTCCTGACCTTGTGATCCGCCCGCCTCGGCCTCCCAAAGTGCTGGGATTATGGGTGTGAACCACTGCGCCTAGCCCCTTGTCCCTTTTTTTCTCTCCCTATTTCTTTCCTTCTCTTCTTCCTTCCCTGTTTGCAACTCCCTTGTAGAGACTGTGTCTTGGGCTGCTGTGGGAGTGACAAATGACGTCTCAGAAACCACACTTCAAGCTCTGGAGAGGGGTCCCCATTCCCGCCCCTATGCGGACCCAGCTCCAGAGCCACCCAGGCTCCGGGGGCTCTGTAAATTAAAGCCATTGCATGCCCCACTGCATTTTAATCATCAGCCCCCAGCAGTAGCTCCGAGTGAGAACCCATGACCTTTTCTCCTTCCCTTTTGAGGAGCTCCCTCCCGCCGCTCCTACAGTGCTGGTGAAAGGCAGCCCCATTGCCTGCTGGAAGACCTGCCAGCTTGGGCTTCAGAGCACTTCTGCCTCAGCTCCTCAACGATCCCTTCTGTCATCATGGGACCTTTCCTGGGATTTGATTTAGGGTGACTTGTCTGCGTCCTGAGTCCTGCCTTCCCTGGCTGGTCCTCCGTGCTTAGTCACCCAGCTCATTCCCAGGCAGCTGCACCCTGGGTATGTCTCCTCTCATGTGCTTCCTGGAAATGTCTCCTTTCTTCTCATCTACTGAGAGGTCCTTCTGGGCAGGGACTCGGGCAGATTCATCCTGGCCTGCCCCACCGTTCCCTAGCCCAGCGCCTGGCCCATTGCAGTGCTGAAGGATGATTCTGGTAAGAAACAAGGTACCCCAGCTCACATCTTGCAATGATTATGCCTCCCTGATCCTCCCTTCTCCTTGCAATTCTCTCCCTTCACCGATGATTTTGGATGCAATTTAAAATAAAAATATTGATTAAAAATGGAAACTATATAAATACAAATAAAAACACTTAACATCAATGTGTCATTTGAGCTTTAACATAAAGAGAAAACATGTGAAGATGACAATTTGTGGACAATTTCAAATTAGTTTGAAGTTCTCAGCTGGTAAGTATCTTGACTTTGTTCCCATCTATGGGGGTCTGTGGAATCCTGACCAGGGAGGTCGTGCAGCAGAGTCGGGGGACCATGGGTTCTGCCTTGATAAGCCTGGGTTGAATTTCTCACTTATGGGCTCTTCCTGAAACTCAGCTTCCTTATCTGTGTAATGAGAAGAAAGACCCGACTTCATGGGGTGATTGTGAGGCTAACAGAAAAGTGCACACAGGGGCTGGACATGGCGGCTCACCCCTGTAATCCCCGCACTGTGGGAGGCCAAGGTAGGCAGATGACTTGAGGTCAGGAGTTTGAGACCAGCCTGGCCAACATCATGAAACCTCATCTCTACTAAAAATTCAAAAATTAGCCAGTCATGGTAGTGGGCACCTGTAGTCCCAGCTACTCAGAAGGCTAAGGCATGAGAATTGCTTGAACATGGGAGGTGGAGGTTGTAGTGAGCCAAAATTGCGCCACTGCATTCCAGCCTGGGTGACCTCCATCTCTTATTTGTTTATTTATTTTTGAGACGGAGTTTTGCTCTTGTCATCTAGGCTGGAGTGCAGTAGCACGATCTTGGCTCACCACAACTTCCACCTCCTGGGTTCAAGCGATTCTCCTGCCTCAGCCTCTCGAGTAGCTGGGATTATGGGTATGTGCCATCACAATCAGCTATTTTTTTGTATTTTTAGTAAAGACGGGGTTTCTCCATGTTGGTCAGGCTGGTCTTGAACTCCCAACCTCAGGTGATCTGCCCCCCTCGGCCTCCCAAAGTGCTGGGATTACAGGCGTGAGCCACTGCACCTGGTCCTGAGATGCCATCTTAAAAAAAAAATGTTAGGCTGGTCTCAAACCCCTGACCTCAGGTGATCTGCCAGCCTCGGACTCCCAAAGTGCAGGGATTACAGGCAAAACCTCGTCTCTACTAAAAATACAAAAATTAGCAGGGTGTAGTGGTGCGCACCTGTAATCCCAGCTACGCGGTAGGCTGAGGCAAGAGAATTGCTTGACCCCAGGAGGCGGAGGTTGCAGTGAGCCGAGATCATGCCACTGCACTCCAGCCTGGGTGACACAGTGAGACTCTATCTTAGGAAAAAAAAAAAAAGAAAATGGTGCACAGGGCCAGAAGCAGTGCCTCGTGTCTATCATCCCACCTTCAGAATCCCACCGGAATCCAACCACACCTTCCACAGCCACTGCCATAGCAGGGGTCCACACCCAGTGGTCTGCTCTCTACACAGCAGCCACAGCGACCCCGTTAATTAACATTTAAGTCATAGCACATCACTTGTCTGCTCAGAGCCTGCAATGACACCTATCTCATTGGGAGTACAAACCAAGGTCATCACAGCAGGCTCAAGGCCTCACATGGTCAATCGTCTCTCACCCCAGGGCTCCCAACACATCGCACTTCCCTCCAGCCCCACTGCCCTCCTGGCTGTTTCTGAACAGGTCAGACACTCTCCTGCCTCAGGGCCTTTGCACACACTGTGCCCTTTGCCAGGATGCTCTTCCCCCAGATATCCTCCTCCCTCCCACCATCACCTCCTCAGGTCTTTACCCAAGTGTCACTTTCTCTGTAAGGAAGACCCTGCTCTTTTTGATTTATTTTCATCTGTGGCACTTGTCACCATCTAGTATATTTTTTTGCTTTACTGATGTTCTATGTTGCTTGTCTGTCCCCGAGAGAATGTGAGCTCCTTGAGAGCAGGGATGTTTTGTCTTTGTTTTCACCATCTGGAGCAGCGCCTGGCAAGTAATGGGCGTTTAATAAATGTTTGTTGAATGAATGAATTGCTCATCATTTTTGGAGGGTGCCAAAACATAGCAGCAGCTATCTACCAACTTGGGCAATCAGAGGTCAAGGTTCTGCAATTCTGAAAGCACATTATATCAGCATAACTTCATTAGGGAGGCAGTGGGGGCCCTTGGGAGGAAACCCCGTGGTCCTTCTACTTGGGGCCACCAGCTCAGCAGGAAGTACCATGCGCGGGGTCCTGACTCAGCGGGGGAGTCAACGGTGTGTTCTCATGGGCCTGCCAGGCTTCGGGGCTCCTGCTCCCTGGCAGCCTCTCTCTGTGAGCTCCCTGCCCCACGGCTGCAAGCTTACCCAAGGCTAAGGCGGGCCTTCTAGGAGGCTCACACTCAGCCAGGCCTCTCCGTGGAGGTAAGGGCACCAGAACCCAGAATAAACTCAGACTAAGGTAGGTAGTTTAGCCGGGGCTGGAAAGTTGGGGGAGGATTAGCTACCAGAAGAGCACGGGCCGGGCACTGCGGGGGCCCAGGGGGTAACGCGGGCAGAGCTGAGCATGTAGGAGGCTCTTGTGCACTGGCTGGGGAGGGGCAGGCAGTGAGGTGTGGCTGGAAAGTGTCTACTTACCTGTGAGAACCTCCCAAAGCCAGGATTGGGTCTGCTGCATCTTTGCCTGCCCCTCTAGTGCTTACAATGGTGCCCGGCCCTTACAGGTGCCATTGATGTCCGCTATGTGGCCTGGTCAGCTCAGGCCAGGAGTCTAGGAATTGGGTGGTCCAGGCAGACACCTCTGATGGTGCAGATCAGGCCTCAGAACAGGCCTTAGAGAAGACAGGGGCTGGGGGTTTGGCTGGGAGGATGGTCTAATCTATTTGGTTATTGCAAAAATAATTGCGGTCTTGCCATTAACTTTGTCAAAATAGCAATTACTTTTGCACTAAACTAATACTTTTATTTTTCTTTCCTTTCCTTTTTTTTAAACAATGTTTTGTAATTTACCTTTATTTTAAAAGTAGTTTCTTCCAAGATGGGCACAAGGGTTTCTCCAGAGCGAGAGATGAACCCAGTCCAGAATGATCCCCCAATCTGGACACATTCATGGCTAAAAATGGCTTTGTCTGAATTTTAGAACAGGGTTCTTTGCTTTTTTTTTTTTTTTAAATGCCATGAACTTCTTTAGCAGTCTTCTAAAGTGGCGTTTTTATTCTTTCTTTATTTTTTCTTTCTTTATTTTTTTTAGAGATAGGGTCTCACTCTGTTGCTTAGGCTGGAATGCAGTGACATGATTATAACTCACTGTAGCCTCCAATTCTTGGGCTCAAGTGATCCTTCCACCTCAGCCTTCCAAGTATGTACCTAAGGCTACAGGTGTGTGCCATCACTTTCAGCTAATTTAAACAATTTTTTTTTTTTTTTGGTAGAGATAGGGTCTTGCCATGATGCCACACAGGTCTTGAACTCTTGCCCTCAAGTGATCCACCCGCCTCGGCCTCCCAAAGTGCTGGGATTACAGGTGTGAGTCACCCAGCCCAGACCCAAATAGCGTTTTTAAATGCATAAAATGAGATACATGGGATTACAAAAGAATGGCTACGGTTCTAACCATAGATCCCAGGTTAAAATGGCCAGTTACGCTCTTTTGGAGGACAAATATTCCACTCTCTGAAAACAGAGCACAAACCTTGGCTTCTCCTCCTGCACGCTGGAGGGTGGGGTGGGGGAGGTATTTGTGCATATTTTTGCAGGGCTGTCCTGGGGTGGAGGGAAACGAGGGGGAGGCAGAGTTGAGAACCCTAGGGGGATGCCACTTGGAGGCAGATGGCTGGGCTGCCTGGGGGAAGGGGTGAGCATCCCCCTTCTCTGGAGGTGGTGAGCTGGAGGCCCATCTGTCAGGGATTCTGGGGTCAGGCTGGGGTGGGTGATTTCTGCCTAGGTGGAAGAGGATTTTGATTTTTCCTGAGCTGCTGTTGGTGGTGAATCTAGGAGATACCTGGGGCTGTAGGATCTTTCTCCCTTGCCAAGCCCTGCGCCATCCCGGCAGCCCTGGCAACGAGAGAATGGCTACTTTGTGCTGGCTTCTGCTTGCCAGGCTCATGGCAATAAATTTACCCCAGTGCCATCTCCATTTTCCCTCAGAACCAGTCATTGATCTTGTTCTTTGGAAGACAATGGCTTCAGGCTAGGGAAATACCTCCCTCCTCTGTCTGTCTTCCAAACCCATTCCTGGGGAAGGAGATGGATTGTAAACCGTAGCCTCCCCCGACAGCTGTGCAGGGTTTCAGTTCAGAGCCTAGGATGGGGTCCCTCCTGTCCTCTGTGGCACCGTCACCCTCCATGGCAGCTTCAAGACCTTCAACATCAACCGACAGTCTTTGAAATTGTCCGGTCCAAACCCCCAGTGTGGGAGCACAGATGGGGTCACTGAGGACCAGAGAGGGCAAGGGCTTTGCCGAAGCCACATAGCCTTGGGGTAGCAGGGCAGGTTCTGGAACCTCAGCACTGACTCATCCTGCTGTGGAGTAGGGGAGCTGGCAGCGGGAAGGCAGCCCTGGGTCTCCTTTGACAAACACATCATGCTTCCCACCTAAACCACCTCTGTGGGTGGGGAGCTGGAGACTGGTCTATTAGCTTTCTCCCGCTGTCCCCCGAGGGTGCATTTGTCTGTTTTGCATTTTTTCCAGGCTGTAGTTAGACAACTCCTGGTCCTGGGGGGAGTGCTGCAAAGAGAAAATGTCAGGGCGACATGCCGCCAAGATAACATTAGCGAAATATCAAGTCCTTTATGATGTCAGGAGGGATTCCTTCCCGCTGCCGAAGCTGCCTAATGACATCATAAAATAGGCCTGCAGCAGCCACCGTCCCCCTGAGTCATCAATCAGGCCCGATCGTGGAGGGCCCCAGCCTGCAGGCGGGGTGGAGGTGCCGGAGTTTAAACTCAAAGGAGGCCTCAACACAGCAGCACGGTGAGGAACTGAGGACTGAAGACACCCACAGTCCCCAGAAAGGGGCAGCCTCGGGGCTGCAGTGCCCCTCCACGGCTGACCTGGACACTAGGGGACAGGCCTGGCTCCCAGGCCCTTTGGATATCTTGAGGTTGAGTTGGCTGCCACAGGAAACTAACACCTCCAGGGGAGGACCGCACCCAGCCTAGGGTACCTCCATGGTGCTAAAC